ATTTTAATGAAATCACAATATGTATAATTTTAATAAAGTTACAATGATCATCATGCCATTTATATTCATCTATTCAAAAAAAGCAAAGTCAAAAGGATAGATAAGCATACATTTATATATACAACTAGGTAGTTGTAGATAACAAAATTAAACCATATATTTAAAATCTAAACTTAAGCGACATATTAGGGGGATAATGAATTTATTAGAACACAACGTACTATAATATTAATTCCAAGAGTGCAACTCTTCACAAGTTCAAAAAGCTAGGTGCACCCCGCATTACAAGACTCCATATTTAATTTACCTATTGTATTTGCAAGTTGAAGTGTAGGAACAACCCTACCAACAAAATACATTAAGCTAACAAAAACCATCCAAATGAAGAATTGCAAACTAGCTCATCATTTTTTGGAGGTGTTGGTTGACTTGCTTTTGAGGAGTGATGATGCTTAGAAGTGGAATTAGGAGGACTTCTAGAATCTGGTATCTATCATTAAAAAGGAAATGTTTCATGAATATGCTAAAAATAATGAAATATACCAAAATTAAAAGAGAAATACAAAGGAAGTTACAAACAGCCATAACAAGAGGTATAACTTTAATGAAAATACCACTTGGCAGCAGCCATATAACAGGAGGTGTTAATGATTACTTTTTCTTTCTTTATTCTATCATTTTTAATTGTCATATGAATTTCACTGGTTCATAAGCTTGTTTCTTTTATGTTGATCCATATAGGCTATTCTTAAGATGCTAAGTGAGATTGAAACCGTAGAGAACATTCCTGAGTTTATTGAGGGTGTAAAGAACAGGTGATTGAATGTAAACCATTTCATGCTTTGTCTATTTCACAGGAGCTATCTTTCATATGCTGTATAAACCTCTAATTTATGTTCTTCTACTGCTTTATTTCTTTAGGAAGTGAAAGATGTCAGGTTTCAGACACCGTGTCTACAAAAACTATGATCCGAGAGCAAAAGTGATAAAGAAATTGGCGGAGGAAGTATTTTCCATTTTTGGTCGGGATCCCCTTATTAAGGTATTTATCAACTCCAAATTTTTTTTCCGACATGATTGTATTTCCACTGCTGTCTGCTGCGAGTCCTTTCAAGATGATTTTTCTATTATCAGCTTTATGATGGTTACCATTAATGCATGAAATAGAGAGTTGAATTTTGTCTTGAATCATGGTCTTTGGCCACTGGAAAGTATTGACAATTCAAAATATTGTTTCAAAGCATTTTCCATGTTTTAAGGATAGGGAATATGTAAATGCATGATATATGGAGACAAAGTAAATAGGTAGGAGTATTTCTATGGTTCTTTCAAATTTTATAACGATGCCTTTCTTCTTTTCTTACGGTCTCTGTTTGTATAGTCTGATCTGCTAATTGTATTTCTATGTGTAGAATTATTTTTATTAGGACCAAACATGGTTATTTATATTTTGTGTTTTATGGAATTCCTGCATCTATGTTTTATTAGTTTATAACCAAGATAGCAAAGAACAATGAAACTTGACTATAAGAAGAAAGGGGGAAAAATACATGACTAACCTCATTAGGTTTATTGTAGGACTAGTATGGCTGCTACTGAACTGTTCACTTTTTTTTTTTTT